CGGGGGGGAACTGCGCAAAAAACGCATCCTCGTACCGGCAGCCGGTACGCTTTCTACTAGGTTTTCTTATGTATATTCTCCCTACCACTTTCTCCTAACTTAAGGGAGAATGGCGATTCGAGGGAATGACGAGGAGAGGGAAGGAAATGAAGGGGAAAGGAGGGGAAAGTTAGGAAGATTGCGTGCACTGTGAGGAGTTTGTATGGGAATATTTTGTTGGAAGACAGTTCATATTTGTTTCACCTAGTTCTTTCGCGATCAAGTAGCATTCGAGGGGTAAAAGTGCGGTGACACTGTGTGTGTGGGATGAATTGGGAAGGAATATAAAAATTTGGGAGTGCGTTTTTTTTTAATGAAAAAGGGCAGATGTGATAAAGGAATGAGAGCCAGAAGGATTAGCAGAAGTCGGTGAGTGGATTTTGCAAATTTGCTACTCTCAGTGGCTGTTCAGACTATTTGGATGCACTGAATTTATACACTGAATGTAAATTGAACTAGAGAACGTAGGATAACTGCTTGCTGCCACCCTCAAGTGTCCAAATGTAATCTGAGGCACTTTGAAAATTTGCCGTCCTGGATATTTTTTATTAAGGAATATCAGATATCTTCTGAATTTTTTTACTTTTACGTATTGACAAATTTGATTGCCTTTTGCAGGAGGGTTTTTCAGGTAGCACTGGTTCGTTGGACGGAGCAGGTTGGTGTGCGGCTAGCGCAGCGAGACCTCACCTCGCTGCAACTTCAACTTTCCAATGGACAGACAAAAAGCTTCCAAATCCTGCATCTGTTTCCATTCACATCCGAAACGAAACGTATGGGGATCATCGTTAAGGTTGTTAACTCCACTGAAAATTCCTGGGTTTTAACTGAGGCAATGTAATATTTTTAGCAATTTTTTTAGTAAATTTCGGTTGCTGCTAACACTTTACGAACGAAGAAATGCATGGACTCCCATCATTTCCGATCTCGAAAAAGTAGTTTGTTGGAGTTGGAGAAGGGATCACAAGTTCATCTCTAATGTTTGTTTAATTGTTCAGGATGAAACAACAGATGAGATCAGTCTGCTGATGAAAGGTGCTGATACGGTGATGGCTGGAATGGTGCAGTATAATGACTGGCTGGAAGAAGAGTGCAGCAACATGGCACGAGAAGGTCTCTCTCTCTCTCTCTCGGTTTTCTCACTGCATTTTCGTAGCTTTACAGTTTTCACGGACGATATTCTGTCGATTTTAGGACTGAGAACATTGGTTGTTGCAAAGAAAATTCTAACAGCGGAGCAGCTGGCTGATTTCGAAAAACACTATCATCAAGCCAAAATGACTGTTGTCGGTCGAAGTGAGCATATGGCTGCTGTGTTGCGACGCCTGGAAACCGATCTCCAGCTTCTTTGTCTGACCGGCGTTGAGGATAGACTGCAGGTAAATCACCTTTTGAATTAGCGCAGTGTTAAAGGAAATAAAAGTAGCGACATTTCTGTTTTAGGAAATCCAAATCCTATATTATTCGTTCATATATTTCGATGGTTAAATTATGAAAGAAAGTCAAAGTTTCCAGCAGCACGCTTATAAGCAGCCCTGGGAGAAGACTACGTACCCACAGTGATTTCTTTCTCAGCTGTATGCTGCCGCTTGAATCCTTTTTTTGGATAAAATTAAAAGGGAATTTTGGTTTTTGGATCTTTTTGCATAATTGATGATGGCGTATTGGCCTGATTATGCGTCACTGTTTATAATTTCCACTGTGTGTCATTAGATTAAGCATGTTACCTGGGGAACCAGTCCTCCTTGAAAGAGATCTTTGCTGAAAGCTGGCTATTCTTAGCTGCAAATGTGAAGAGTAGCAAATGCAGAAAACGATGACCAAATTACTTCGCGAAAAGCTTAAAGGAATGATTTACAGAAATTTGACAGGTACCCGTTGCTCATTTTTATTTTATCATCCCCCGTTGTTACTCTATTTCGCTTTCGCAAATTATCCCACCTTTTTTAACTTCCTCTTGTTATTCTTAAAAAGTATTGAGGGAGTAACCTTCAATACTGCATTTACACATCCATTTTTCAGGACCAGGTAACGACTTCATTGGAATTGCTTCGAAATGCGGGTATCAAGATTTGGATGCTTACCGGTGATAAACTTGAAACAGCTATATGCATAGCCAAATCGTCCGGTTTGTTCTCCAAAACTGATAATGTTCACGTCTTCGGACAAGTGCAGACAAGGATTGAGGCCCATAATGAGCTTAATGCCTTACGAAGGTTTGTTTATCTTATCTGTTTTGTTAGGGATAGTAGCATTTTACTTCTGTGTGGGCAGCTAGTCTAGATCATTTGGAAGAGAAAGTAATGTAAAGAAGGAAAGAAAAGGGGAAATTTTGAAGCTGAAAATTTCTGCTTTTGAAAACCGATCTGTTTACGATAGTATATTTAAGACTATCGAAGTGAGCAGTTTTCGAAAACAAAAGCGACTCAAAACCCTTTTTGCTCATGAAGCCCGCTGTGAGACGGGTTCTGCGCTTCCAGAGTTTTGGCATCTAAAAAACTAATTTATGCAACATATGTGGAAGTTATTATTTTTCAGAAAGAATGATGTAGCACTGGTTTTGTCCGGATCGGCGCTGAATGTCTGTTTGCAATATTATGAGGCAGAAGTGGCTGAGCTCGTATGTTCATTTATAAATTTTAATTTTTTTTTATTTCAATTGAAGTTAAATCGGTGGTAACTTCTAATCCAGTTCTGTAGCTGGTTATCACTCACTTTTCCAGAAATGCCAGGCAATTGTTGAGAAGGAACCGTTGAATTTTGTACGACCATGAGGCTGTGAATAAAATTTTGGGGGAAAGGCAACGTACTTCTCTTTTTTTCCTCTTTTTTCACTTAGTCTCCCTTCTTTTTTTTCCGAAACCGCTTATTCTCTCCTGACACCTCTTTGTTTTGTTTAAAGCCCCTTATGCATTTTTTTAACAAGTTTATAACAACAATTTTGACATAAAAAGAGCAGCTGCAGTGCTGAAATTTTCGCCTGCATTTTTTTGATCACTGAGAAATGAGGACCGGGCTTATCTAGAAAAGTCTGTTTTCCAGGTTTGTGGCTGCACAGCGGTGGTTTGTTGTAGATGCTCACCGGAACAGAAAGCACAATTGGTAAATTTGTTGCGAAAGTACCGCTCACCTTTACGAGTAGCTGCAGTGGGTGATGGTGGCAACGACGTATCGATGATTCAAGCAGCACACGCTGGAATTGGAATCGATGCGCACGAAGGTTTATTGAAATTTTTTTTTGAGATGAAAATCCAAGCCTGCTATGATTTTTCCCCTAGTGGAAGCTTACGTAAGTTGTAGTGGTCTGAGAGATTAATAGGTCCGATCCTGTCCAGTTCAGTCGAAAAGGATTTGAAAAGGTGCCAAGATAAATACCATGAAATAGAAATCGATGATTTTTATAAAGAATTAAATATGGCAACAGAGCTTTGTTGAATTGTGGATTGAGAAGTTGCAAAAATTTTAGCTCGCAGTGCTTTCAGATTTTTAACTTTAGCTTATAACGTTGTTTCTTTTTTGTATAAAACCCCTGCTGCGTATTTGAGATAGCAAAATTCCGCCGCTTTTACTTGAAAACAGTGGAGAGCCATTAACCTTACTGAGGTATCCATACAAATGTTCCAGACTGTCCTATCTAAGATTGCTTTTTCAAGTAAAGTAACAGCTGCCCTAGTTTAGCCTAGCTAAGTATATGTGTTGGGACAAGGAGGCAAGGGAGAGGAAGAGGCGAGTGCAAAATACAGTGCAGTATTTCGACCGAAAATTTTGTACGCATCATAACTAATTGACAGTTTTAAACCGAACAGTGGTGAGCGCGGAATTTGTGAATGGCCAATAAATTAAGGGGAACGGCAGTTCTAAGCATTTGCAGGAAAAGCGAAATTTTATAAGCATAGACAACAGTTCCAGTGTTTTCCCGGACCCTCAGATGTTTTAAAATTGACGTTTGACATTATATAGAATGTCAAATTTGGCGATAGTGCAAAAATCCCAGAAAAGTCTGTTAATTCTCAGCGGACTGTTAACACAGAAGTTTTTCTCATTTTTTATTTCGAGAACATAGTTTAGCAGGATCTTTTAAGCATTTTTTTCCAGGAAAACAGGCCTCATTAGCAGCAGATTTTTCAATTCCCCAATTCGCGCACATCTGCCGGCTTCTGCTTGTTCATGGTCGTTATTGCTATAAGCGTTCATGTGCTCTCTCGCAGTTTGTCATGCATCGAGGTGAGTTTTCTTCTAGCTCTCTTCATAGCCCACCAGCCTTCGAGGTTACCGTTTATGGTTGTATGTGTGTATTTTTTGTTTCAGGGTTGATAATTTCGATTATGCAAGCAATCTTTTCCTGTGTTTTCTATTTCGCTTCTGTATCGCTCTATCAGGGTGTGCTAATGGTCGCGTAAGTCTTTTTAGTTTGTTTACCTTGTTAAAGCACACTAAAGGCATCGTTTGTTATATTTTTCAGTAGTTTTAATACCATAATTCGCTGCTGCTTCATCGTGGTCCACTTCCTCACCAGCTTCTACCTTTTCTGTGATTACGGTGGCGGGGACTGTATTACCTAATATTCAGCAGCTGATAACATTGCTTTTTTTGGTGCAAAATGTCGAATTTATTACTTTACCTCATTGATTACATAGGCATTCCGCTTACGCACCAGTAACTCTTCAAATTCTCTCTGACTGCCAATTCGCTGAAGGTCAAGGTGGGGAGGGGATGAAGCGGTGAACAGTTTGGCGTAGAGCGTGATTTGAAACTGTTTTGAGCCAGTGGCTATGTTGCAGTGCCTAGTGGGTGGTTTTAGCTCACATCTGAAATGATATAACAAAGTATTATGCAAAGTAGACCAGTGCTTTATGAATATTACCGTTCTGTTTGTATCAGTTAAATCGTTCTGTTCGAGATTTTAGCAAATCTTACCCGCAAAATTTAGGATCTGCATGGTCGGTATCGAAATGTATTGAATAGATTAGATTTTCAGCCCTTCCCATCCAAAACAAGCAGAACCTGCAACATTTTCATCTGCACCTTCCTGTCGGCATTAGCATAAGCGAATTTTTCCTGCCGCCTTCAGCTTGCTTCTAAGCAGTCCTTGAAAGACTTTTCCAGCTGATGGCTACTGTTAATGTGCGCTACTACCGTCGAGCTTCTTCCGAATGCTTTCGCCTTTTGCAAAAATAATGATGAAAGATATTCTGGCTTGATGTATTATTTTTATATTGTTCAGTCTCTTTTTTTTGTTTTTCCTACATCTTATTAAAGGTTAAAAGAGAATATAAGAGAAGAAGGAAATGATAGTAAGAAAAAATGGGTATTAAGATAGGTAAGGAATATAAAAATATCTGTTATAGGTAAGAAATGTTTCAGTCCATTAAGTC